TTCGCTGTTGCTGTCGAGGACCTGTCAGCGTTTCCACTGTGAACTCTCTTTAATTGGTTTGCAGCTTGCCCGTCGGTTCGTTTGCGGGTAGAAATTTGGCCTGTGAATTGCAGTTTTGGGAAAAAGACATTTCTTGCTGTAGAAGTGCCCAAGCGTTTCCAGAGCCGTTGGCAGCCGGGTGCCGGCCGTCGCTGCGCCGCTGCCGCGCGCGTGCAGAATGGCAGCGCTGCTCACGTGGGGCGTCTGAACGTAAAAGCTCAAGTTTTGTAATGACTTTTTGTTAAAACAAATGGGAAAAGATTTCAGCAATGAGCCCTTCAAGGAGAGAACTGAACAAATGGCTCTTCAGATGTGATTTAAACGTAGTGTCTTGAGGGACTAATGCAAGGAGACAAAAGCAGCGTCCCAGGGGAGCAAATAATCTGCTGAATGATTCATGCAGTTTTACACAAAACGTGTGAATGAAAGATGATCACCGACAAGATTTTATTAATGGAAGACAGGAAGGCTTCAAAGTGAGGTTTTGCTTTTCCGTCTCCTAAATTTCCCAGGACGTCTGATGCTCTCCCTGGAGCCTCCAGAGGAGCTCCCCAACAGGAATGCTCTGCAGGACGAACTCCTCATCTGCCGCAGCCACTGCTGTGAGGAGCAGCCAGGTCTGGTCAGGGCTCTCTCAGCTCCCACAGGGAGCCATTGCCGTCAGCGTCCTCCTCCCTGTGCCTGCTCTGGTGTGGGCTGGGCAGACCCTCGGTCTTTCCTCACACATCGTGTGCTGGCCCCTGGCCATCTCCATGGTCCTCCTCTCCCAAGTCCGGTGTGTCAGGGTCTGTCTTGTACTGGGAGCTGATCACAGATACTCCACATTGCCTCCTGGGTGCCAGGCAGAGGCAGGAATCCCTTCTCCTGAGCTGCTGCTTTTGCTCTGGCCGATGCAGCGCAGCCTGATTCCCTTCGTCACCATGGTGCACGCTGCTCGCTGGCCTTCGCCTGGTCCAGCACAGCTCCCCCGTCCTCTTCTGCAGAGCTTTCCAGCGCCTGGGCTGGCTCCCTCCAGGTGCCGGACTTTGCATTTGCTCATCTTCATGAGGTTCCTGTCTCCCGTTCCTCCGGCTTTTGTTAATTAACAGCTGATTCCTCGCAGAATGAATGCAAGGCAGGTTATTTTAAAAGTTGTCCCCTGGCACCGTTGGCCGTGTTTTTGTATAAGCAGGAGTGGCGCTGCCCAGCGAGCAGTGACCACCCTCTGGGTCCTGGTGGAGGTTGCAGCTGGAAGTGAGAGCTGTCCCTCAGGAAAACGTACAGCTTTGGCTTGGTTGGGGAGTGCTGTGGTGCGTAGAGAAGGCAGCGGTGTTACTGATGCACATCTGCAGCGCCCAGATGTGGGTCACCCCGGGGCTGAGACAGGCAGCTCTTACAGCCTTTCCAGAGATGCATAAGTCACGACTGAATTCTTGCTAACAAAAGACACATGAAAACGCTGCTGCTGCTGCTTGTGTGTCCGCGCACAGGCACAAACAGGAGGCTGGGTGGTTAGCGGGTGCATTTTAAAGAGATTCGTCACAAAGTTGTTATGTAGGACACAGGAAACAGCAGCTCCCGCTCTGCCCCGCTGGGACTCGCGCAGGATTGATCAGCGCGTCTGAGGGAATAGGGAAGTGGCTCTAATGAGGTGAGCGCGTCTCGTCCTGCAGCAGCGCCGTGCCGCAGCCGGGGAGCCGTGCGTGGTGCAGCCTGGAGCTAATGAGTGGAAACGGGGCTGGCAGGAGCGGTGCGGGTCCTGCGCGGCAGCGGTTGGAGCAGAGCCGTGTCCTAATTGGGCTGGGCAGAAGGGGCGATCGCTGCACCTCCCGCAGCCTCCTTAGGTGTGTGCTGTGTGGGGTTAGCAGGGGCGTCGCTGAGAGCACAATACCCAGATCAGGTCGTCGTCCCTCGTTTCTCTGCCTGTGTTCAAAGTTATGACGTGTATGTTCAGTCTTGGCAATGCAAGATGGTGCCTGGTTGCACCGACTCCAGCCATTCTCATTTGAAATAAAGGAATCAGTATAATCAGGAAGCAGTGAAGTTGGCTGATACAGTAAGCACGCAGTCACATTATTTTTGTTGCTGGGATTCCCTGGTTGTGGTGGTTGTGAGGACGGACTGCTGAGTCTGTCATGCACGGCCAGTGTTCTGGGTCGTGCTGTGAGCGCACTGGCCTAAGCACAGTCTGCTGCTGCTATCAAACGTGTGGCTTGTCCTTAACAGCTCGCACATGTTTCCATCGCTGTGGTAGACCTGCTTCAGGAGCTGACGGATATTGATACTCTCCATGAGAGTGAAGAGGGAGCTGAGGTCCTCATAGACGCCCTGGTAAGTGATGAACTCCAGATTACTGTGACGCCTGAACACAGTGTGATACCCGCAGTGTCTGCAGCCGTGGTTGTCTGCATTGCCAGCACCGCGGTGATGTGACCTGGCTGAGGAGCCTGCTCTGTTGTAGCTGAAATGCTGCACCGAGCACCACCGTGGTGGTTTTAGTGCAATGCCAGAGTCTGGGGAGCAGGCTCTTCCTGCACATTGTGAGACCGCTGCTCTGTTGCAAGGAACATGCTCATAGTGTAAAATCTGTGTAGGCTGCGGGACTTTGTCGTGCAGGGAGGGAGAATGAAGGAACATTTGTGACTTGGACAACATCCCATTGAGAACAGGAGCTTGAGTTACATTTTTCTTCCTTCCTGTGGAGAAGGGTGACCTCTGCTCACCCCTGACAACGTGGTTTGTGGCAGGGCCCAGGTTGTCCCCGGGACAGCGGGGCCCTCGTGGTCACCTCTCGCACAGGACACTGGTGGTCTTTACCCAGTAACTCTCGGTTCGGCCCTAAACCCTGTGCGTGAGCTGGGACGTGTTGTTATGGTGCCATGGATGCGCTGGTGCCCCCTGTGCTGCGGGAGGAGGTGCCCAGCGGAGCAGAACCCCTCCAGGGAGGCGATGCCCAGCAAAGCCACGGATTCACCCCTCTGTGCTACCTTCTGCTAGCACGGCCTGTGTCTGCTCGGTAACTATTCTGTTGAAGTGGAAAGGTGGGAGATAGGGGTTTTCTTTTGTTTGCTTTGTTTGCCTGCTCTGTTTTCTCCTCCAATCCTTCTTGTCCCATCGCTGCAGTGGTCCCTCCCAGGGGTTAATGACAGTGGCCTCCTGCAGCCGCCCTCGGGCTGCTCTTAATTACTGTGCCCCGGCGGGAGGCTGCGGGATGGATGGAGTGGCAGAGGGGGCTGCTGCAGAAGGTGTTTTCTATAAGGCGTGTGGAGAGGTAGTAAATCAAGCGAGGTTTTTTCTCTGTTTCCCTTGTCACCAGCCCGCTGATAATAGCCGGGTTTCAGAGGCTTTATTGTCCTCTTTGAACGAAACAGCTCGGGTGTATCTTGGGAGAAATGGTTAGGTACCTGCTTTCTAGATTGCTTTTTTTTGGGAGAAAGGAGGCGTGACGTTGTGGGGTGTCTAGGATTGTTGCACTCTCACAACAGCAGCCGGTAGCTGTGTTTTCCCATGTGTTCACTGAGCCCAGCGCTGGAGAACGGTGTGAGAACTGGAAACGCCGTTGTGTTGAACTTCCCAGGCTGGTGTCCGCAGTGGCAGGTTGGCACAGCCAGACTGGGCTCAGTCTAAAAGCTTGGTTCTTGTGTTCCCCTTTTGGTGAGGAGGCTCCACCTGCAGACCCGGGCTCCTGCTCCTGTTCATTTGCCAGGGTTTCCTTGGCTTGCTGCAAGCAGCTCGGTACATTCGTCTGGCCAGGATTGAAATGCAAAGCTTCAGCTGTTGATAGTTCAGCATTCAGCTCTGGGTCTGCGGGTGAGCCCTGTTCCCTCGGCTTTTTGCACCCATCAGGGTGGGAGGTGCAGGGAGGCGCAGGGAGGCGCAGGCAGAGCTCAGCGAGCAGTCGGAAGCGAAGCCGCCTGCGGAGCTGGCAGCAGCCCCTCCGTGCTGGTTCATGGGGCCTCCGAATTCTGGGGCTTACAAATCCATCAGGCTGGCTCAGGAAATGGCTGTGACAAGGTGTGTGTCTTCCTCCAGATGTTTTTCTCTTTAATCTGAAACACACAAACTGTTCAATTGGGGCAAGCGCAGTGGCAGAGCTGCTTGGTGATTCGCTTCCCCTGGGGTCTCAGAGCAGGGTTGCTGGTGTCTTCTGATCGTGTCTGGCGGGGTTTTTCAGTCGAGCTTATTGATTTGTATTATTTATTAACTGTTCTTTCTCCTTCATCTTCCTTCTCTCAGTCATCTTGTCTTTCTGTCTTTCCCATGACCTGGTGGTTTAGGTGGAGGGCCAGGTCGTGGCCTTGTTGGTGCAGAATTTGGAGCGCCTGGATGAGAGCGTGAAGGAGGAAGCTGACGGTGTCCACAACACGCTGGGTAAGCGCCCGCTGCGCCTCACCCTCCTTCCTGGGTGTTGTACATGGGGTGGGTTATCCCCCCTCCTCGCCCCCAAAACGCCAGTGCTAGGGCGCAGGACCTGGTGCGGCCCCTGGTGCGGGGCCCTTCCCAAAGGAGGTACTGACACATGGATAAAGCTGTGAGCTCTCCGTGCTCTGTCACGAGAGCTGTTCGTGTCTTAGCAGTGCATTTAATTTTCAGGCAGTAAAGCTCTTGTATTCCCTGTACATGCTTCCTTACCCCTCTGTTCCCCAGCCTTCCCACAGCACTGACTGCTCTGCAGGGTGTTGCTGTTGGTGTTCAGGCCATCGTCTGCTCCTTTCCATCATTTGGGATGGTGATCTGAGGAGTGGCAGAATGAAAGACTGGAAACAGGGTTGTGGAATTTTGATTGCCGCTGCTGTTAGTTTAGGTCTGTGCAGTGAGAATTGGATGGGTGGCGTGGGCAGAGCAAAATCTGAGAGCATCGCAGAGCCCAGCTTGGGTCTCACTCAGAAAAGGGACTTTTGTGACTAAGATGTAACTGAGAGGAGCAGTGCGGCCCTGGGGAGGACCTGGCAGAGCAGTGTTGGTGCAGGCACAGGCAGAAGTGCATTGGGGAAAGCTGACCTGTGTGTCTGTGTGTCTGTCTGTGTGTCTGTCCGTCCCGCTGTCCCCTCAGCCATCGTGGAGAACATGGCAGAGTTTCGGCCGGAGATGTGCACGGAGGCGGCGCAGCAGGGCCTGATGCAGTGGCTGCTCAAGAGGCTGAAGGTGAGCTTGTGTTCCTGGTGCTTTTAGGGGATAATAAATCAGATGTGCTTGTGCCTTGTCCTTGTATTGTAGCCATCCTGCAGCTGGAGGTGTCTGTTTGATTCCTGCACGGTGCATTTCTGGTCTGTGCCCGAGATCGAGGAACGGAAAAGGCTGATCAGTGAGCGGGGATCTAACAACGACCGCTTTCACAGAATCACAGAATGGCTCGGTTGGAAAAGCCCTCTGAGATCATCACGTCCAACCGCTCCTGTCTACCCCCTAAACCATATCCCTAAGTACCTCGTCTACCCGCTCTTTAAACACATCCAGGGATGGTGACTCCACCACCTCCCTGGGCAGCCTGTTCCAGCTTCTGACGACCCTCTCAGGAAAGAACTTCCTCCTTATCTCTGACCTGAACCTCCCTTGGCACAGCTTTATGCCTTTGCTCCCCACATCTCTAACACTGTTTTGAGTTTTGGGTGATGCTTTTGTTTAGCTGCCGTGCTGGTGGGTTACTTTTCCTTTGAACTCACGGAATTACCTCTTGAGTTCAGAGTTACTTGTTGCTGTCCTTAGCATCCTGTGGCAGTGAGTTGCACAGTTCAGCTCTGTCCTGCGTGACCAGATGCCTGAACGTTCCCTGGAAAGCACTGGGGGAGAGGGATGGCTGGTTCAGCTCTTGCAGAGCTGGTGAAGGAGATGGAGCAGACAGATCCTGGCTTTTTCTTGCCCCGATAGGAAGGTGTCAGCACTGCCACGCTTCAGTGTCTGTGGTTACACAGCCTCTGAGGCACAGAAATGCTCTCTCGGCTTCGTAAGCGTGCGGATGCCCCCCCGTGCCCCTCATGTACTTGTTAGCAGAAGTAACCGGTAATTTCTCGCTGCAGGTAGTAACACAATCATATTCCCTTTGCTTAAAAACAGAAAGTGAAGTTAATTTTATTCCAGGCAGGTGTGTGCTGAGCGCAGGTCTGCTGCCGGCCTTGTAATTACTCTGGCAGCTGAAGGACCTGGAAACTCGGATTCCCCTGCCGAGTGCTGCAGAAAATGAACGTTCAGGGCCCTCGAAATGTGGTGCTGAGCGCGTCTGCCCTTTGCCCTGGGTGTGCAGCCTTTGGGTGTGGGGTGCGAGCTGGGACAGGGATGTTCCTCACCCGGACGCTGTCGTGAGGAGCCATGCACTGATGGCCACCTCTGCAGGCGCCTCTGTATTGGCAGCGCTGGGTCTTGAACCTAACTCGGGGCTCTGTCCCAGCATCCCAAGCACATCTGGTACAGCACAGAGCGGGTTTCTGGTTTGTGACTGCATTGCGGGTTGTCTGGTTGTGTTCTGGCTGTCAGAACCACAGCAGCAGGCTCAAGAGGAGAGGTCAGTCACGTCTGCGGACACAGCAGGCTTTGGTGATGGCGTGAGTGGTGTTTTCTGTAGGACAGCGCGTGGTGCCACCACGGGAGGTACC